CATCCTCGGAGACCCAGGGGCTGTGGGTCGATTTCAAGTTAGGGCATGAAGAGCCCCTGGGGACATTGTCTTACAAGACTAGTTCCAAACGGTCGCAGTCGTTCTGCCATCTGATTGGTGCCAGAAAATCTTTGTGTTTTTCTGCCCAATCAGAGTGAAGTGTGCTTTGGAGTCCTTTCGTGTGTTGTAACACGGACAAATACTAATAGCTCAGTTGCTCGCTATGTTTGTTTGGACCGTGCGACGGAGATTTGCTTGAGGTGAAAAGTTTCAGTCTCAGCACACAATGTAAGAGAAATCGATCAGATTGTCCGCGAAAATCTTACCGGAAATTATACTGAATACTTTCGCAGGTATCACTAGAGGACGTGTTTTAAAGTTAGCGAAGTTTGTATACAACATGATGGTTGCAGTCATTGATATGTCGCTTTAAACGTTAAACGAGATTTGAGCTTAAATCTTTCTAGATTTTTTGCATAATTTGCTGTGACTGAAACTTTGCCAATCCCGTGAAGTTACTTCGTCGCATTTTTCTTTCAACTAAGGCGTCTACAACAGTAGAGGTAGCCCTAGTAAGGAGTTCTGTCCTAATCTTTTTCCCCTTTTCTTGCCTACCTTCTTCTTATTTATCAACCTCGCCTGCTAGCTCACTCACAACAGTAAATATCGTATCTTTTTATTATTATTTTCCAGGTCCTAGCAGTTCACCAGATGCTTCACAAAAAAATGGCCTTCCATGGTGGGGGATAGCAGTGATTGTAGTAGGGATTTTGATACTCGTAGGAGTTTTTGTTTCTTGTATTATCTATAAATCTCGCCGTGAAAGGGCTACTAACGGACAAATGCTGGCTCACGCTAAAGAAGGACCAGATAATGAGATCGAGAAAATACCTCTCAATGAAGAAGCACCTGATAACGAACAAATCGCTCGCATTTAAGAAGAACTTAATAACGACTAAATGGCTCTCACTGAAGCGCGCGCCAACTCAATCAGACAACTGAATGACCTGAAACACTAATGCAGAGAAAGATGCTGCTGTTTTCTTTCGTACTGCACTGTATTATTTTCAATGTCCTAGTAATGCCGTTACTCTTTGAGTAATTGAAGAAAAATTTTGTCCATCAAAAATTTATGGGGAAATATCACATTTCCTAACTGATTGAGCCATGGGAATAAAGATAGCCAGATAGGTTGTGATGTTGAGGTATAACCTACTTTTAGGAAATATACTTTCTCAAAATAATAAACGGCTTGTTAAAAGAGTGGGGCGCTTGTGAAAGTTCATTTAATTTACTTGCTTCGAAGGTAACTGCTTGCGCATTGGTAACCAAGGTAAAAGATGTTATTTTGCCTTGTCACGAGCGTAATAATCAGGTAGTTGCAGTCGTTGATATTTTCGAAACTATGAGAATCGTGTACACTTTTGATTCATCAAACCCGTTGCTTCTGAGTGTCATGGCCAAGGCATCATCAAACAAGTCACCCCACGGTCTGTGCATATTGCAATTGTTACACCATGCACTTCATTTGCAACTTGTGTTATTCTTTACCATTCCTAACCATCCTCACTACATATCGGTTTAGATTGCAAGGAACACTGTACTGAATACGTTTTCTCCACAACGCAAAAATGTGGAAAATAGCCATAAGGAAAATGTGTGCCAGATGAACAGTTCATCGTGCTCGACTCCTGGGTTTAGCGGTTTAAATGAAACCAAACCTTTTCTGTGAAATCACACAACTGTTTCCTGTGGTTCCTCTTTAGCTTTTTAACAATTTAAACTTCATTTCTATGACTCAGTATGAGTATAGATATTGGCAAAAATTGTAGTCGATTTGATTTCTTATCTCAAACCATTTGGACTTTCAAACAGTGTGTCGATTGTTTTACTAATCAAAACCTCACCGACGACTGACAAACGGCAGGGCACCTCATCTTTCTCTTTCGTACGTTTAAGGAGAAATGATTCTTCATTAGCGATTAGCTTCTGTCTTTATTGTTAATATGTAATTCTAACTAAGTGTATAGCTCAATTATAAAAACACGTTGATTTTGTAGGTTTTGTTCAAACACAGCAACTTATATGATTTATTTCGTGGACATTTACTTTCCTTCTTTCAAGTGAAAATTTACACCGAGCTGTAGGTTAAGCCTGAGTCTTTTCAAGGGAATTAAAAAATTGATGTAGCCCCTCATTTCCGATCATATCGTCACTGCTAAAGGGTGTTCTTTTCATTCCTGATCGCGTGACGCGATAGAACCACAGACATTCAAGAATTACAAGAATTTTAGCGTATGTTATAATATATATCTAGCCTTTGTTGTGCTGACTCAGCACTTGTACGGAGCGATGCAACGTGGAAGATATTGCACAGCCTTAGTACAATGGACATTCCTTGTATTCTTTCTGTCTCAAGGTAAGTTTATAGTTTCAAACGATCTAAATTTATTTTCAAAATGAAAGCCTCTTTGAGGGCAGACGCTTTCAAGTATTTGTCTCAAGGGAAGCTGTCTGACGAGAGGTTTAAGGTTTGAGATGATTTTTATCCGTTTGAAATGGCTGTTTATAATGAAATTGCAAGAATTTTTCTCCATTCCTCGACGATAGCAGCTCTTTTTGGCCTTTTATTTCGACCCTAACAGTGTGGTTTAATCAGTTTCAATTTGATTAATGTATTGAGGGAACGTACGAGCGAAACGTCATGCACGTGCGGAGGTGCTCTAGCCAAGCCGGCTTGCTTTGCAGACGTGGGATAAAATCAATCGAATTTCGATCATCGCTCGCTCTGACCACAGCTCCTGCTCTTCTTATTTAGAACACAAACAAACTTTTTATTCCAGCTTTTTTTTTAGTAAAGCGAAATTAACTTCACAGTGGGGCTACAGCTTTTATGCCTGTTAGGCTGCTAAGTCTACATACCGCCATCGTTTTCATCTAATGTAAGATTTTACTTTGTATTACTTTAATTTGCGTCTATAACTTTAGATGGTACACTTTATTGGAAATAATCGTTAGCTTTAGGAGTTGTATGCCTAATATATTCATCTTTCTATCTATGTACATATTTATTCATCGCATATTCGCGAGGAACTGATTGTGCATTTTCACACAAAATTTTTTTTCCCTTTGCTCGACACAACAAGCTTATGAGGACTCTCACGTGGTCTTATGGTATTTATGGGGCCTTTTTATTTGTCCATCCGCAATGATAAAATAAAAAAGAGAGAAAATCTGTAGGAATATCTGCAGATTAGAGCTGACCTTTGGCCCAAAGCGCTCATTCCTATTCAAAGAGATTTCATTTGAAAAGGGTGACACTTGACAGCTTACGCCGATAACCCTGTCTGCTGGTTTTTTTGTTTTTGCGATGATTTGTAGGTTGTTTTCTTGTAGTTTGTAATTCATACGTTCGTTCTTATTATTAATTTAGTGTCCAAATGTATTGGAGCAGTGGAGCAAATACCTGTTTACTCAAATATTGATAACGTGACAATCGGTGGTAAGTATCTCTGTCTCCAATTTGTGACAGGTTAACTAAGAAAATGCGCGTGAAAGCAAGTTTGTTTTGAAATAAGCGGTGAATGGAGGATACAAAAGATTTTAATCTTCTTGAGAATACAGTCCGACCTCTATTAACCGGCCACCCTCCATTGGGCGGCCACTTTCCAAAGTCCCGATTTATTTGTCAGTTAACTGCTGTATTTGATACCTCTTTTCAACGGCCACCTCTATTAAGCGACCGCAGCCACCTTTCTGCTGTCGTAAGTGTATTATTTACATGTGAATAAAGGCTGACAGTTTCGAAAGAAACTGCTTGGGGCTGCGTCGTTGGGAGTAACGAAATAATTTGGATATCAGATACAATGAAATATATGAAGTTCATATATTTTGAACTGCGGTATTAGATACGTATGATGCACGATCCTCGCAGTAGATAGCGCCATTTAAGCAATAGCGAAAATCAGACCTGAAAAAAATCAGGCCTGTACGGGATTCGAACCACTGACCTCTGCGATACTAGTGCAGCGCTCTTACCAATTGAGCTAACAAGCCAACTGGGAGCAGGCCGTTAAGTTGATTCGTAATAAACCCGTGAAAGTGATAAATCAGATACAATGAAATATATGAAGTTCATATATTTTGAACTGCGGTATTAGATACGTATGATGCACGATCCTCGCAGTAGATAGCGCAATATAAGCTTGCGAGGATCGTGCATCATACGCATCTAATACCGCAGTTCAAAATATATGAAGTTCATATATTTCATTGTATCTGATTTATCACTTTCACGGGTTTATTACGAATCAACTTAACGGCCTGCTCCCAGTTGGCTTGTTAACTCAATTGGTAAGAGCGCTGCACTAGTATCGCAGAGGTCAGTGGTTCGAATCCCGTACAGGCCTGATTTTTCTCAGGTCTGATTTTCGCTATTGCTTAAATGGCGCTATCTACGGCGAGGATCGTGCATCATACGTAATTTGGATATATCAACAAAGTTGAAATGGTAAATTGGCCACCATAACGATTACAAAAGCTGACGTTTCGAGCGTTAGCCCTTCGTCCGACGAAGGGCTCACGCTCGAAACGTCAGCTTTTGTAATCGTTACGGTGGCCAATTTACCATTTCAACTTTGTTGATATATCCATATTATTTACATGGTTTTTTACCTCCATTAAGCGGCCAGCAAATTATCTTCCCAAGCGAAATGGTGACAGATGATATAAGGTGATAACTGATAACAACAAGTAAACAAGAACTGCAATTTAATCTCCACTATAATAAGTCACAAGCCACATACACGTGCAAACTTTTCACATCCGGCGCTATACAAACACAACAATAGCTAACAAAAGATAGAGCTGAACCACTGTTTTGTTACAACCAAAATCTGTACAGGAAAACTTTATTACTACTGTACTGGAAATCTACAAAAATCCTTGCTCCTCAAGTTTTGATTTTAACCATTGAATTGAAAACTCGTCTCCTGTGAAGCAGTTCTCGCATGGAATTTCTAAACCGTAGCCAGCCCCTCTGTTTACGTGTTTGCCTTTCACAACAGCTCTTCCTTTGTTTGTTGGCCTCTTGAAAAATTTTGGAAGCCATAGGGCTATAAACTTGGGAACATGTCCAAGAACTGTTTCGCCATTTAATTTATTCTCATGGATGCGTGCATGGGCAAAACTCTGCATGGGCTGGAAATGCACTTGATGTTTTGTTACAATGAATTTTAGATTTATCTTCATATATGTTCGTTCACTTTTTAAAAGTATTTTGCTATATAGAGTCAATAAAATCATGTTTTCTGCCATTCCTATCCAATTTAAATTGTACCTCTATTAAGCGGCCAACCTCTATTAAGCGTCCACTTTTCAAAGTCCCGGGGGTCTGTATTACAGTCCCCGGGACTGTATTTCTTTCCAAGACAAGCCCGTTCTTACGTCACTTCGCCTTGGCCAAGGAAAATCGATGCTCCGTCTCGGTGAATTTATCATCCACCCTAAATTTTGTGGCAATTTTGAACATTCCATGGTCTTCAGAACATTGTAGATGCCAACTGGGTGGAGATTATTAGTTGACCAAATACCAAATTCTCCGAAGCCCTTAGTACAGGTCTGACTGTGACACAAATAATTCAGCAACTCGGGAAACAGTTACAGAAAGGGTTAAGGAATTGCTGATCGCTACTATTTCTCTGTCAACAGTGCCTCCGTTTGGAAATGTAACATTCAAATGGTCATTTGGACATCAGAATTTTAAACGAGTTGTACTTGCAATGAGCAACGCATCCAATGTCATTGCGAGGTTAAAGAATGGAGATTTCCGTTGTTATAATGGCGAGCTCTTGACGCAAACGGAATGCCAGGAACATTTCTTAATAGCTGTGAATGCATCTAGTGACCTCATTATTGCAATGACAAATCTATCAGATCCTTATTTTGGACGCTTTTTAATATCCGTATACCGTGGAATGGACTCCAAAATAGACACCGTATGGATTACAGTTTACAAGAAAGGTAAGCTGAGTACCTTCGTACGTAATATGCACAACAACTAAAGGGTGTAACAGACGTTAAACATAAATTTCATTTTGCAGAATTATTACAGCGGAATACGAACACAACCGAATCGACTCCAACAGTACTACATACAAGTGTATCATATACACATACAGAAGGTTACATCATCACCGAGGAGACTAGGCTCAGAGATCTGCTCCCTATGAGTAATGGCTCGGTGAAAACCAACATTGGTCAGCCAAGTAAGTTTACTGCCCGCTGGAAAACTTATTTCTATTTCAAGACTCCTCATTGAAAAACGGACTACCCTGTTACCGTGACGTTAAGTACCGTGAAGTGCAGTCCGCAATTTTCTTAATAGGTATTTTATATTCACGGAAAGAATACGGAAACAGAAGTTAGCTTCTGAGAGAATATGAATGAGACAGGTGGCAGTCTAGTCCTTGGAGTGTCACAGTCGCCACTTAGATTTTGTTGAAAGAAATCTAAGAGGAGTACAAGTGTGAAACTATACTTTATAGTGGGAGATCGAAGGGGGAGTGAAGACCGGATACCAAAGTGAAGGGCCAAGCAAACATTTACTGATGCAATTATTAGAGTTACAAAGTTATACATCGAAAACAATACATGGGCGCGAGCTAATTTGTAATTCCTTTTCGAGCTGAAAACGAGAAGAGAAATTCCATATCTACAAGCAACCTCGTATTGAATAAACACAATAGGTCTTTACTGACAAGAAAAGTGGACCTTATTAATGAATGAAAAAAAAAAAGGGAAGCTATCCACAATCCACAAAAAAGGCATAAAGTACGTTGGACAAAAAGGCTCAAGATGAAAAATGCGTTGAATCATCAATTCACAAAGTTCTTAGTTTTTGACTTTTTCCTTACCGACAGACGAAATCTTTTCAGGTATAGGGCCAAACTCGGCCTGTGGAAAATCTTCCAATTGTCGATTTTCGTTCTCAGCCGCGAGATATGCCATTATTAAAGTCAAGTACGTAATTTCGGTTTTTCTTCTGTGATTAGTGATATTAAACACACGTGAAAAATTATCGTATTTTTTCACGTGTGTTATTACGGCTTTTCTCAGGGCTGGAAATCCTTGTATAACACCAAAGTCTGTAAAAGAAGATTCCTTTTCCACCACATTCGGTTGGTTTAGTGGTGTCAGGGAACATAAAATAAAAACAACTGTGACTATATTCAGTGAAAATTGTATCTCTATCCAATTTATTCAACTTTTTTGTCTCGCCCAGCTGTAGCTGACATCAGAAAAGAAAAGGCTTCGCAGAGTGGATGGCGAATACCTGTACTGGCAATCTCTGCTAGCCTTTTAGCCTGGCTTGTTATAACTGGAGTGTCATATTACAAGAGAGCTTAGGAATATCAAATTTACTAAGAGGACAATGATTCATTATTAAGCGTTCTTAATTTAATCTGAATAAAACTTTGATTCTTTTCCACCTTTGAATTGCTAATCTATCGTTCCACCACGACTCACAATTAAAGTACCAATCCCGTCGAACCTCTCTGAAGATGAAATTAGTCCCTTCTTGCAAGGTAGATCGCAACTTTTCGATTGCATGAAGCGTCATCTTATGCCAATTCATAATCCTTCACGATTGGTGCATTTCGGTTTCTCGGGCTGAAACTGCTATCTTTTTTTAAGGCAAATCATTAATTTTTTCCTTTGCGTACGCGAAGTTTGGATAAGATTAAATTAACTTAGACCTAAAAGATTGTAGTTATAGAGAAAAACGTCTGCACCTGTTCGTTCGCGTTTTTTTTTTCTGAGGTAATTGCAGATAAAATAGGGACGACTTAAAATTTCTTAAATTGGCTGATTGCAGAACACTAATCAAAGAATCAGCAACGAAAAAAGTGTTTACCGTATACTGATGGGTCTCCATCATATCAGTGACTGACAAACTTCAATCTATTCAAGTTTCTCTTCTCACAATTCTCATTATTTGCACCTTGAATCATCCGGCAATAACAATAACTGACATGATTGTTGCGTATTCAGCTTTTGATCGAGGAGTAGGGCTTGCTTTTGAATTCTTCGCACAAGTAATTTTGAATAATAATAATAAAGTATTATTGTTTTTCTCACGATATAGTCACTTATGATTTGGATCACGATGTTTCGACTGCATACTGCTAGTCTTCATCAAGCGCTAAGGCTGACTGGTTTCGGGTCTACTTATAAAGCAGAATGCTCCGCCGTGATTGGCTGGTATTTCACAGCTGTGATTGGCGCGTTTCGATCCTCGATGTTAGTGAGTTGTCCTCTCGGCAGTAAGACGTCGTACGGCTCTCCTGTTATCGTGTTTTTTGATCGTGGCCATCCACGCTTCAGGAATTTCTATTCCACTGTCCCTGTTGATGTTGACAGGGTGAAGTCCTATATGAATAGCCTCTTTGACCCTGCGAATGTACTAGTGGGGATCATGTTCAATAAACTTAACCTTATTCCAAAGCGGTTGGTGTCCGGTATTGGAGGCGTGCTAAGAAACAGGGCCGAAGGCCGTTTTCGTTCCTGCTGGGGAGCATAGAACGTCGATCGTGGATCTCCGCTAGACCCTGTTTTTGGCTGTTCATTTTCATTGCTTCTCTTCAGGTGATGTTATTCTTGTCGACCTCATGTGCCTCCAAGATTTGGTTTAGAGATTCACGTCGTTATTCCTACCTTAAATATTTTGCTACTCCACCACTTTCTTCTATGATTTTCGCCACCTTTTCTCGTGGTCTACTGTGTTACTCTCTGTTGTCATTTAGACCAACTGGATCTCGGTAGTCTACCAGATACAGAAAGATTCTCCCGATAAGTTGTAATAATCTTTGTGCTATTCGTGGGAACGGTGTAGATATGAGGAATTCAAGTAAAACTTGATGTATCCGCCATAATCCGACAAGATTTCCGTGGACTATTTTCTAGATCTAGTCTAGATCTGGTTTTGAACTGCTATCAAATATCTTTTCACGAATCGTACCCATCGGCTCCCATAGGAACGGGTGACATTCCTTCTCTCAGGGGTGGTAGGCAAGAGTTTCGGTCGAAGATGCGATCGTGCTAAATGTTGGACGGTCGGAGGGGTCCTCCTGCCAACATTGCAGCATGAGGTTATATCTACAACAGAAAAAAAATACAGACGAATAAAAACAATGACAACAACAGGAACGAAACAAAACAATCACACAAACTAACTCATTTAACTCTGGGACTGACTGTCTTCTAATTTTTTCTTACAGTATTACTCTTAAATCAATTTTAATGAATGAAACAAATATTCACTAATTTATCGTAATTGTCAAAAAAAATTCTCCCGCGTCAGTATAATGGAAAATGTAAAGAGAACAGTTTGGAAAATATCAATAGCTATGTTAACGTGTAAAGGGTTAAGTCAACCACTGTACAATATATATAAAGTTAAAAAAAGAAAACTTCATTATAATTGCCTGCAGTAAAAAAAAAAAAAAATAGGTTCTCCTTCAACAATATTGTAAGTCCTCTTAAATTTTATCCAGTTGTCACTTATTATGAAGTATAATATTCCCGTTCTAAGTTTACCCCAATTTGTATTTTAGTCAATTACATCTAATAATCTTGAGGCGGTCGGTGAACTGCGCAACACCCGAGTTCTCGCTGCGCACAATAATTAAAGTAAAGATTAAGAAGGACAGAGTTATATTATTCCACATACAATTCTGGGCTGATTTCTGAAGTTCTTCGTAACCTGTGACCGCTTGCAATGTACTTGAAGACTTCTTCTCCCGTCAAACCCTCATAAGGGTTTCCACCTGCAATCGTTGCAGAAGGACTATACTTTAATGAACTAGTAATAGTGTTCAAGTCGGTATTGCAGATTACCAATCTAACAAAATTTTTTTCTTTACTATCCATGATAGCAGGATGTATCTAAAAAGAGAGGAGAAGGGTATGGTCCCAGTCAGTTTAGGGAACATTCATAAGTCATCGCCTGCTCTTACTTACCAAGGGTAAAAATCTCGTACAGAACAATACCGTAACTCCACCTAGAGCAGAAACGATACAGGACAATGGGTTAAATTACATGTAAGGGTGTACTTGTGACTGCATGTCATGGTTCAATTCTCTCGGAGAAAAACTCCCAGGTTCCTTGGCGAAACAATGTAACCAAATGCCAATAAAACGAGTTTGTCGAGTCGAGTTGTGAAGATAGGAAGGTTGTCCGTGGGAGAATCATCACTAAGTGTGTTAGAAATACGAAGTCGTACAGTAAGGTAAGGTGAATAATATTCTCAGACTGGTGTTGGAAAACTAATTCTTGTACCGAACATATTCTACGTCAACTTACACGTCACTTTTTGTAGTATAAATTTGTTTTGTCAAGGACTCGACTGCCATCCACTTTACAGGCATAACTCCCTATAGAGATCCAAAGAAATGAATTAGGTATTACTTTATCGTGTGTCAATAGCACGGTTTCTTTTTTAATCATTCGACTAAGGCCTGTGGGAGGCTTGGGATAGAAACGAGTAGGTTCTGGGAAAGAAATTTAGAGTAACGCAATCACTGAGCATGCGTACTTACATTAGACCTTCTGACATAAATTTCGCCTCTTCCAAGGTCTCTGGCCATCCCAAAGTCAGTAATTTTACAGTGCAGACCCGCTCCAACCAGAACGTTTCTCGCTGCTAGGTCTCGGTGAATAAGCTAAGGGCAAGAAGAACTAACTAAGTCTCTTACTATTAAAACGATTTCAGTTGTGTTCAGGAAATATATAACGGAAATTTTATTGGGTTTGCTTAGATTAGTCTTACGATTATAGAAAAAAAACACGCCAACTTCTCAGCGAGTCAGATGCAAAACTATGCCTCCCCGCAAGCATCCTGCTTACTTCGCTCAGCATTGCCTGGGGGAGGGGGGAGGGTTAAGAAAGGGAAACACACACACACACACACACACACACACACACACACACACACACACACACACACACACACACATACACACACACACACACACACACACACGCACACACATACACACACACACATACACACACCCACCACCACCACCACCACCACTGGCAATAGGTAATGCCTTGTCCTTTAAGAGCTCAAGAGTGCTCCATCCTTTTCATCTCCATAGCTGGTGCCCTTGGGAATACATACCAAATAAGCAAAATGACAATCGTTGCGCCCCTCAGTTTTTTTGCCTCAGTAATCAACGCACCCGTGAGAGATGGTATAGTGCATATTTGTAAATGTGATATATTGTAACGCGTACCTGGTGGGCTGAAATGAATTCCATTCCCCGTGCGATATCAGACGCGAATTTGTAAAGTTGTTCTGTGGATATTTTTCTCGGAATTTCTTTGCCTTTGAAATCATAATAATCATCTCTCTCCCCTCTGCTTCTCTTCAAAAATCCAAGAAGATCTCCGTGAGGGACAAACTCCAGAATAACAAGGGGTGGTTCTGCACATAAAACAATGAAACAAAGTAAAATTTTATATTTCATACAAAACAGTTGGTGAAACAACTTTCCAAAGTCAGTAACTGAAAGAAGTCGGTGCTATAACATTAACCCTCAACATACCGAGCATATGGACCGTACTGGAGGTCGAGGCAGAAAAAAACAGCGATCAGCGAGGTCTGTACAAAAAACGACCCAAGGCCAATATATACCATTACGGCTCGAGCAAGTGCGGTAAGTCATTAGTTAATTATATGTCACTTGCACCAAACTTGTTTATTCTCAATTTACCGGCTTTTGCGACCAAATTTACGCGGCTTTTGGCAATTTCCATGGAAACGGACCGTATGGGAAAATACCGACCAAGTAGGAACCAATCAGAATGCTAGGATGTGCCTCAGAACTACAGTGCCATAAATGACAATAATACACGTTGTTACGCAGTTCTAGTCAGTAGCGTGGTTCATGATAATCATGATGAGTCAACAGTTTTTAATCAAAACTGATTTACAAAGGCTTACTAAACGTGCGCCCTCCTTCAAATCGAATGCCATCTTTGGTTAAACAGCCCAAAAGTTGAATCACGTTAGGATGAGGTTTCAGTTTCTTCAGCAAATCCAGCTCTGACAACAAATCCCTCAGGTCCGACTTTGAGAAGTGTTCTGAAAAAGAGTGTTGGTTGTTACTGATTACACTAGTCGCGATTATTACAATAGTTTTCCTTAATTCATTATGTTATTTTTTATGATTTGCCAAAAGGGCATAAAAGATTTTATACCTTAATGCCACATAACTTGATCATTTCCCTGGAAGAAATGTTGCGTTTTTGGGACTTGATGATGGTAAAAAGAAACAATTCCTTACGTTGGGCATAGTAATGTACCTTCGCATGAGCGATATCGACCTTACGTGGATCTTTAACGAAACCCATGAATGTAATCAAGAGTAAAAAGAAAAGTATCGTATAGTTTCCCATGATTTAGATGGCTTACTCATGCGCTGGAGTTATCATTAGGAAGGTAATACGCAATCAGTTGTGCAAGGGACTTTCGTCATTGTGGATCCAGATAAAACACATGATATTTGTTACGTATATAAACTCAATACGTGGTCTCTCTCGCTACGACGCTCTCCGTGTGGAACTCATAATCAGGTTTTGAAATGACCGAACGTGCAGTTGGGACCTGAAGCATCGTGAAAGAATAAAATGTTTCCTTGTTCCACGCTCGTGGCAAATGCTTCTCATTTTTAACGTAATGGTGCACATCATACGTACCCTTCAACATTTTAACAGCCACAACCGACCACCCTCTTGTACAACCCACATCCAGTGCAGTACCCTTCCACACCTGACCAAAAGTTCCACCACCGATTCGCTCAATCAGTGACAAGTGATCGGAAAGCACCTCCCAGTTTTTGTTGCTGTATACGGGTGTGTATGGCGACTCCACGCGCGCTTCGGTTGATAACTGAGATGAATTTTGATCTGCTGTTCTCTTGCAATGGGCTGTTGAATAGCTTGCATTTTGATAGGACGTTTCTTCGCGGCATGTTTGAGGACTTTCAACAGATAATGTTCCTGGCGCTTTTTTACTGAGCTTTTTCCTTGGTTTTGGCCGGGGGCGTTTTGGGCACACCATCTGGATTTCTTGCTTGCTCAATTTGCTACACTCCGTATTTTCAAAACTGGGTTGTGAATCATCATTGTCTACCGGTTGAAGGTAATGTTCAGAGGGACAAATTTTTGGGGCTGCACTGTTACTCATTTCACTTTCCTCGTGAGCACCAAATGTTTTTAGAACTTTAGGTAACTCGTATGGTGTAGTTTCAAGAGGTCGAAATGATGTTAGTACAAGACATTCCGATGTTCTTGGCCTCTTGTAGATGCTTCTTATGTTCCGAATCGACGTCTCCTGTTGTTCTGCCATACCAGAGTATACCTCTGTTGGTGAAACGGAACTTCTTTCGTCGACAGTACCTTCGGTCTACAGATTTGGAACAGTTGTCGATAGTATCAGTATTGAGAGTTACCGGGGGAAAAATGTGCACATTACAGAGTTTTTATGCTAATAAAAAGACAATAAAAATGACAGCGGAGCTCGTAGCGCGCAGCGAAGCCCCATACCAAGACAAAATAATGGTACTTTATTAGCAGAGTGCTGCTCTAAAACGCTAATCACCGACTAACGAAATGTCCCTTACCGCGTCAGACGAGAGATCCATTTCAGATGCAAATGAATAAGCTGTTATCCTAGAAAAGAAAGTTAAGCAGCGTTGCTAAGATTGAAACATTAAATAATTCACAGCGTTGCTAATTTACCTAAGTTATGGTCAAGGGAGTTAAAGTTTGCTTTAAGGTTACTCGTATTGGATTAGCTTGTTTAATCCATCAGCCAAACAGCCATGAATGGTCTCATCTTCGAGGACTTAGGAGCTGTCAGTCGATTTATAGTCCGCTCAAACTGGATATTGAGTCGCAGCCTCCGGGTCTCCGAGGATGGAGAGGCCTTAATCCAGTTTATGAATGACACTCACCGTATTCTGCCTCGGCGACCTGTTAAAGGGAGAGATTTTGATAGAAAAAGGCCATTATTCCTCCAAAAGATGAAATCTATAACCATCAATTACCTTCACCAAAATCTATAAACTCACTAATTGCTCTATCAAGCTGTCAGAATTCCAATTTTTACTGTTTGCTTGAGCGGCAAGGATATATTTTCTCATGCTCGGTTATCAACTGAATAAAACTTTTATTATCGTTTTATTTGCTATTTCTTCTATAGCACTTTTCAAAATAAGGCTTAAACTTAAAATCGATCTCCTAACTCTTCATTTTTTATGCAAAACCAAAACCAAACCGATTCCCTAACTGGTGCTGTTGGTGCACTTATTTTATCTTTTCTTCTTTTTAAAAAGAAGTAATTCATGCGCTTACTCTCAGGACTTTCCTTCACGGGCTTGTATTTTCTTCGGCACAAGAAATAAGAACACCCACCAAAGATGATTAAGGCAACGATTGCTATTAAAGCAAACGTGAATCCATCGATCAAATTTTCTGTTTTCTGTGAGAATTTCCTCGACTCTTTTGAGCTGAGAGGTTTCACTGAGCTCTCAAGATCTATTGTAAAATCATAGACAAACACATTTGGGTCAGTACATGTTTTTACGGTGGCCCATAGGGGACATGACACATTTTTTTTTTATCGCGCGATAAAATCAAAATATCGCACGAAAAATTAAAATTATCGCGCGAAAAATTAAAATTATCGCGCGATAAATGCAAATGATAAATTATTGCGCGATAGATGGAGATTATCACGCGATAAATGGAAATTATCGCGCGATAAAAAAAAATTTCGCGCGATAAACAGAGATTATCAATAGATAAATGATAAATTATTGCGCGATAAATGGAAATTATCGCGCGATAATTGAAAAATTATCGCGCGATAAATTGAATTTTATCGCGCGATATTTCGAACTCAGGGTGTGCGTGATATTAGTCACGCAGTCAACGCAGTAAGATAGAGTTGTTAAGTTATTCTTTAAAAGGACTTTTATTTTTTGGAATAATACATTTATTCAGCGCTGTATTACCGCTTTGCGTTGGCAATGGCTTGCCTAATACTTTCCAGAGGAACGAAATCATTAATCACTTCTTTTCTCTTGATCTGGCTCACTCATAGATACTCGCTTTTCTTTCGTGTTTTCATGGAATTGAAATAAGCTTGCGCCAGCTGAAACGAGTGCTTAGGCGTCAGGGTCTATTTTTAACATATAAACTAGTGGGAAGCACTTCTACGAACAGTAGTTTTAGCTAAAACCGTGGCCCCAAAAATATTTTTTTTCACCTTGCCTTACACGTTTTAAATTTTTCACAACTTCGCCTGTTCCGGTTTATAAGTCCGGCCAAGTCTCTGTGGCCCTGAATAAGTCTTCGACAATAAGACGAAACGCGTCGGAGAATAGAGAAGTTTTACAACTACTGTTAGTAGAAGTGCTGCTCACTGGTTTATTCTTAAAAATCTTTAAAAATGTTTTTAAAAATTTGTGCATTATGGTCCACGGAAACAACGTGCGTGACAGCCGATTACGTGACCTAACAAGTTTCCCATTTACCGCGCAATAAACGATAAATTATCGCGCAGTAATAAAAATGATCACGCGATCATTTATCATTTATCGCGCAATAATTTCCATTTATCGTGTGATAATTTCTATTTATCGCGCGATAAAAAAATGAGTCATGTCCCCTATGGGCTACCGTATGTTTTACACGGTAAGAACCTTTTATTAGAGGGATGACATGAAGAAACCATGAAAGAAAAATGTGAATACATGGTTTTGGGATCATATTGGATTCAGTCGTTAAATTGAAACGTGTGGCTTGATAATCAATCTTGAGAGAAACTGGTGATTGGATAATCATAATTAAAATTGAAGCTGCAGAAAAAGGAGAGTCTTACCAATTCTCCCGCGGTTACGCTTACGAAACATCCAGGTACCGCGGCAGGCTATGTTGACACTTTAATTTTGATAAAGGCCCCATTATAAAAATAAATTTGACAAAAAAAACCTTAGTCAGAAGCAAACCTTGTGGTAGGCCAGTAGTCTAGCTCAGAATTGGAGAGATTCGAAGTACGGTAAATTTGTGACAGAGTGTTAGGAAGCAGATAGGTCAAATACACTGAGTATCCCGCGTGAGATAATGTAAAGAAAATATAGTTAAAATTTTTCTGAAAAATGCCATGATTCTTTACCTGTGTGACTGCGGAAGGCCGTCGGATCAATTTTAACTGTAGTTCCATTGGTTGGTTCACTTTCTGCTGCATAATGAAAAAACAGGAGCCTGGAAAGTTTAGTTCAATGATATTGCCAACAAATCAAATTTCAGGTCTATTGCATCCCGTTTACGAAAATGATATTAAACAAAGGAAGTACGATTTTACTGAAACTAAAAGTGAAAAACTAAATATATCAAGAAAAGTTTTTTTTTTTTTTCTTTTATTAATAGGGTAAAGTAACCAAAGAAGCAATATATGTTTTCAATCTACCTTTAAGGTAAACAATCTTTCTGTCTTCTCCCTCGTGGTTTTCAGCGATACATTTATACTCGCCAGAATCCTTGGATGTGATGTTATTGAGGGTGACTACCGCCTCAGAAATGCCACTTACTAATTTTGTTTGTTTCCTGTACCACGTGACTTTAACAGGAGACACACTTTTGTTTGCAATACAATCAAGGCTCACAGACTGTCCTGTCCTGAGCGTGGGTGGAGATGTGACAGACTTGATTAATGGAATATCTGGAGCGTTAATGCGAAGAATGGTTAGCTTCATCGACGAGAGCAAACGACAACAATAGTAACAGCAGCAAAACAAACAAAAAGGCCATATGAATAGATAGCAACTAACAAGTGTTTTCATTTCAACAAAGCAAGAGGGAACAAGTAAATTTAGATCAAGCTTAACGGGAAATGGAGAAAAGCGGAACAAAAAGCTCGATCCTGTCTCAGTCTTTATCAAATGTGTACTAGATTAACTAAAGTCATGTATAAACCTATAAACAGAAAGACTATGTATCTACCAGCGTTCTATCACAAATGCTGCGATCTAATTGGCTACGCAAATCGCTCTTATTTCAGTGATAGCTATTGGGTAGAGTTGGTAGCTTGACAGTATATTGTTAAAGACAAAATAGAATAGGAACTTGAGCCTATCGTGTCGGTAAGTTTTGAACAAGCATTAGGTTTACCATAGTTCCCCTCGATTAACTATGGCTTTACGTCAGAAAAATTAGTGATTATCGTGTGATAGATTATTCGTGCTTCACCCAATCAAAATCTGCGCAGACTATACGATTCTTACGTTTTGTTTCCACCTGAAGCTTCAATGTATCGATGAGTGGATAGTGTAAGTCAAACTCCACATGTATCCCGAAATACTTGTTCCCATCCTCAGGTTGCACATTGTGTAGAACAAACTCAGCCACTGAATATGCTACGTTTCCTTTCCAACTTAAACGTGACTCGTACTCTTGTCTCATTTCAACAGCACCACTACTGTTGACGGCAACAAGACTCTTTTCGGCCGCTGAGGTAGGATTAGTCCAAATTCCAAAGAACACTTCAACGAGCTTCATACGACTCGGATGATAATACCGCCATTCCAAAGAAACACTCTTGCCCTTGTAGACTATTGTTGGGTTGTTAGGTTTCAAAGTAAATCTCTGCTTTTTACCTGTCAGAGATTAAGGATAAGTCGCAAATAGGCTAAAATTTCCAGCAAATAGCTCTTATTGAGGATTGCTGCTTGCTTACCCGTGTTTTATCTATCAAACATTCAAGGTAAATACATCGATCTTTTTTCACCTTTGACCTTACAAATAAGTTTGTCCACGTCCAAGTTTATCTGGCGGCCAGTGCTGTAAATCTGGTGTTTTATGACCAAGATATTCTTATTTCATAGTCAAGCTTGTCGTCGTTACTTTTCTAATCTATCTTTTTTTTAATTGCTAGGATAATTCTCATGATGTTCGCTCCTAAACCACTCCATTTCACATTTTCCCCAAACGCGAATATTTCACATGCAGCTGAGCTGCAGCTCCGACTCTGCGTTGATGCCACGTTATGTTATCTCAGGAATGTCATGTTTCCAAAACCAAAAGTTATCACAAAAGCTAATCAGAAAGAAAACCAATGAGAATCAAAATAAAACCAAGCAAACAGCCCAAAGCGCGGGAAAACGCGGGCCACCAAGTCGTGATTGGTTTTTGTTTTCCATCCGTGATTGGTTGAGAAAGTGGCACTAGTTTTCTGGACCAATCACAGAGCGAACGCAAGCAGAACCGAATCAACTTCAAATTACTTTCAATACTCAATTGAAAATTTCCCTTATCAGTTGATACTTTCACTCAATCATGTCATATAGGTAAGCAATTAAGGGGACATAACCTAAGTGTTTAGAATTACTCTGGAGCATGAACGGCAACTAGCTCTATGAAGGAAAGATTAAAAACAGATAATTGATGGTTATGCTTTGTCAACAACTTGTAAACAACATACCTATTTCGGGTGTGTTATCACCACGACAGTAGCCACTCTTACTTCTTTCCTCCACTTGAAGCTTCAATGTGTCGATGAGTGGATAGTGTAAGTCAAACTCCACATGTATCCCGAAATACTTGTTCCCATCCTCAGGTTTCACATTGTGTAGAACAAATACAGCCACTGATGATGTTATGTTTCCTTTCCAACTCAGTCGCGACTTGTTCTCCTTTCTGTACTGAACAAAGCCCCTGCTATTGACTGCAATGAGACTTAAGCGTGCCGCTGATGCAGGATTCGTCCAAACGCCAAAGAAAACTTCAATGAGTTTAAAATAACTTGGATAATAATACTGCCACTTCAGAGTAACGTTCTCACCTTTGCAGGCGATCGTGGTATCATTAGGCTTTAACGTGAATTTTTGTGGCCGGTTACCTGCGGGCGAAAGATAACGGTCAGTCGTGATAAATACATAATAGAAAACGGCGGGGGAAAAAATTCAGACATCTCATTCACCCTTTCTGTCACACTTCTCCCTCCCAGGGAACAAGATTTGGCATTTATTCCTATATGGTTTCTGGAAGCACAACACTGAGTATCTCATTCTCATTCTCATTCATTTATTCGCACTATTTCAAGAGGGTACAGTAAAGATTACTATAGATTACAAAAGTCAGAATATATAAGAACAGCAAATTACATGAATAATCTAAAGTAAAATGTGCACAGTGACCAAAGGAGCGTAAGCTTTCGAGTTGGCCACTGTCACGTGTAATTAACTGGTGTATCTCGGAGATAGTGAAAGCGGAACAAGAAGCTTAACTCTAATGATATTAGAACACCACAATGTTTTTATGTGATTTGGAAAAAAATAAATTATGGGTTTTTTAGTCATCACATGGCCCGGACAATCAAAGAACATACTTCCATCAGTAATACATTCGAACCTTAGTAAATCCGGACTTCATGTTGCGATAAAGTCGTATTTCAATAACCTCTAGAGCTCAGTTCCATACTTATAAGCATCCCAAGTTCAGAGAGTAAATTTCTGTTATTTTTACCTTTGCATCTTTGAAGGCTATTTTAACGGGATTTGAGAGTCAAATAGAGTATCATTCAGAAATAGATACCCGCTGAAAAGATCGAAGTTAGTCTGAGAACGAAAGCGGAACGTGACGTGGTGAACTTATTAATGTACCCTTGATTTTCTCTAACGGTTTAAATAAGAGTTATAAATCATTCATGGATTATTGCAATTAAAGGACGTGTTGTAAACCTATGGGCAAGCAGCAGATCGTGTATAGTGTTCATGCTGATGGCGGAATCGCCACGAGGCGCATTGAAAAAGCTATAACTAACACTCATAGTTACGTTTTTAATGCGCTCAAAACATGATTTCGATTGGTATTATATGGGTTCTCAGGTTAAGATCGATTGCAATAATCGTTAAATTTTTCTTGTTCTGATGTTACTTTTCTTACTTCAATAATTTCATTTCTGTAGCTATTAAAAGACAATCATTGTGTTCTTTTATAACTGATAAAGTTGAAAAACTACAAAGTACTTCCTTTAGGTAACTTACTTATTTTTATAAACAGTTGTGATTTTTCAAAAATTGGTGAGGTCAAAAGTCGTCGAAAGCCATGCAATATTCGAGGAAGAGTCGATGAGAAATTGGAAACGACTGGCCCACATTTGACCGCTGCAGGGTATTAGCTGTATTCAAATTGAGTGTTACTGATAACTCACTAAATAGAACCGAACACAGTTACAAGGCACACTATTCAGGAGAGGCTCTATTCAGGAGAGGCTGCATTAAACTATAGGTTTCAGGTTTCGGTTAATCTCAAAATGATCTGTAAATAAACGTATGAAACTTTCCGGCGATAACATGGTTCTTAACTATCGATAGAACAGGAACAATAAAAAATGTAAGCCCTTAGAGATTAGGAATCACATTTTTGTTCAGTCTTAAAAACAAACTCCACACATTTTGAATAAAAGAATAAATGTGTTCACTTTGGTGAGCCCCATACGAAGTTATCTTACCTGAACATCCCGTCTTCTTCAAAGCGAGTAAGAAGGACGTTAGCAATACAAAGTTTGACCAAAATATCATTTTCAATGATGATTACTCTTCAGGTGAACTATGTCCGTTACCAACTTCCTCGGTGACTTTCTCTGAGCGTTACATCAGCTAAAGAGAACCAGATTAAATAACATTCGAGCATGACTAGTATCAAAAAGCTGCGCAGCGTTTCACAGACGCGCTCAGCATGCAACTGCATGTGAACAAACCTTCGATTAAAAGAAAGAAAGCTTTTCTGAGAAATCTAAGACGACAGACGAAATATTATCGATTCCTAAAAATTAAAGCTAAAGGTCACAACCTTTTTTTTAACTACGGAACAATTACTTTGGCATGCGCCCAAGTTCATATCAATCTATTATCTACTCCATCCATAGAGTGGATAACAGATATACTTTATACCAATGGTTAAACCTAAGCATATACTATATGAGCGAAATTGATGACAGCATTTACACCTGAAAGATTTGTTAGTTCTTGTAAGCCCCTTCCTTAATTCCTCTCCTTCAACCAAGCAAGGGATATTAACTATGGCAAAGTTTTCTTATAAGAGACGCGAGTTATCTGTTTATCGTTGGTCTTTCAAACCCTTAAAACCAGTATCAGTCTACTGAATCCATTTAAGAAACTACTGTTTAAGGTCTTCTCATAAGAATCTCAGTTTCCTAGAAGTTACTAATCTAATATGATTTAGAGATACCGAAATTCTGACGATATCAGTTTTTTAGACTGAATTCTAAAACAGTTATGTACGGAAAACAGTTTTCCTACACATACAACTGACGTGATGAAACGAGGAAATGTCTTTGCTTCAATTAATAACTTTCCAACAGGCCTGTTAACGTTAGTAACCTGTTTAAACAAAGTAGCCACAGGTACAAGATAATATTAGGTGGATGAGATAAGTAACATAAATTAAAGAGTAGCTATGTGAACTTTGGAACCATCCGGAGAGACAGGAATTAATAATGATAATTAATAATATTACTATGAAAACGAAGAGCTTTGGATCGTAGATACAGCAAGTCGCGTCGTTTCAGAATGGTTGTGTTCAGGAAAGTGAAAATAGCATACTCTCACCTAGCAGACGTGAAGGAGATTTTTATCAACATTACATAGTGTTCCTTGATTGCATGACTTACCGGCAAATATTAGGAATTTATTAACATTAAATTCAAATAAGTTACTTAAAGTTTTGATACTGCTACAAATTTGAGTAGTGTGCACAGTGAAGTGCCTATCTAGTTGAGATCGGTTTTTACCGTTTTCGGCGAAAACTCAGGACAATAGCCAGGGCGTCGGGTTTCACAAACATTTTCCTGTTATTCTGAAAATACCCATTTTAAGAATAACGAGATTAAAACAAAGGTCACCTCATAATCCAATTATATTCTCTCAAAGCAACACCTGGATAGACAAGCGTACTGTTCAGTGTCGTTGA